GCATTTGTTAAGGGAAAAATGGGAGAGCAAGTATTGTGATTAAGCTAAAGTTCTTGCAAGAAAACAAGTTGTGAATCCTACCATATAGAAATAAATTAGTCTTTAGCGCACGCCTCTTGCGTGTGATTCATTTAAAATAAAATTTTTACATATTGTTTTTTTTTTTAAAAGAGAAAAAAGGAGCTAAAGACATTAATAAAAGAAATAAAGACAAAAAGGGAAAATATCTTAAGAAGGAGAAAAAAATTATAAATAATTTAATAAGTTTTATAAATGGTTTATTTATAAAACAATTTATAAACAAAAAAAAGACTAAAAATTTATAAATAATTTATTTTTTTTAATGAATTCTCAAGTTTTTTTACTTTCATTTTAAAAACAATTTATTTATTTTTTCCCTTTTTTTTGTCAATGTTATGCTGCACGAGCCCACTTACATCGTTGCATTTTAAATTAATTTTATTTTAGTTTGTTTAATTAATTTTTCATTTAATAATAATGGGTGATTTTATTTATTTTAGTGTATTTTATTTTATTTTAGTATGATTTTAATTTATTTTAGGTTTTTTTAAATTATTTACAATATTTTTATTACAACAATATTAAAAATTAGACACAGATATTAAAATGAATAAAATCAGATCACAAATTATTATAAAATAAATAAAATTTGATTTATTTTACTGATTTAAGTTGATAATTTTAAATTTTTATAATTAAAATTTTTAAAAAATATTATATTTAATTTTTTTATTATAATTAAAATTTTTTAAAAAATATTACATTTTAATATAAATTAAAAATTTAAATTTGTAAAACGAACTTGGGCATAAAGATGACGAACAAAGTCAAAGGGTGGTCCCCTTTCCCTTCTCTCCCGGTATCATGCCTCACGCCATTCTCTCTATCTATTCCCGCGGGACCCATCACCCAACTCTCCCTCTCTCTTTTCACGCCATCTCCTCTCTCTCTCTTTCTCTCTCTTTTCCCGCGGGACCCACTACTTTTCACCCATCACTCCACTCTCTCCAGCAGAGCTGCAGCAGCGCAAAAAAAAAATCCACGTGGCCTAACGTTGAGAGATGTTTCCGGTCTCTTTAATTCATAAATTAGAATTATTTTTTATTTATATATATTTTTTATAAGAGAAAATATTATAACAAACTATAAATCATGATTTAAATTTTAGAATAAATCTTCTAACTAAACGGACTCTTAGTAAGAGATTTATATTATGATTTAAATCATAGTTTATAATTTATTATAATATTTTTTCTCATAAAAAATACACGTAAATTAACTATAACAAATTATAAATTATAATTTAAATTTTAGAACAAATCTTTCAACTAAACGGACTCTTAGTAAGAGATTTATATTATGATTTAAATCATAATTTATAATTTATTATAATATTTTTTCTCATAAAAAATACACGTAAATTAAAAATAATTCTAATTTAATGATTTTAATCCATTATTAAAATTAATGTCTCATTTGTAATGTATCAATAGATATTTATTTTGATTAAATTTTTTATTTAGTTATTAGTCTCCATTAATAAAAAAGCAAAGCATATTTTAAAAATATTAAGCTCCTCTTTAGTTGGTTGATTCGAGTTTTTAATTCGAATTAAGATGTGATTTTATGTGAGAATATTTTATTATATTAAAAAAATTAAATGTAACTGTTTTTGAGAGTTTTTTACTGTAATAAAATTCAAATTTTAAAATTGAATTGATAAAATAAACGAGGTCTAAGAGTATGTATACATGATAGAAAATTTAAAAAATAAAAAAAATCCGTTTAATTCGTTGATTCAAATTTTTAATTCGAATAAAAATACAACTTTATGTTAAATTTTTTACTGTAATAAAAAAATTAAATTTAACTGTTTTTAAAATTTTTTTACTATAATAAAATTAAAATTTTATATTTGAATTGATTAAATGAATGACACATAATTTATTGAAAAATATAAACACAAGTTTGCGAAAGTGGTCAGAACTGGACAGAAGCCAACGTACGTCTAATGCATTTATTTCCATCATTTAAGGTGCCAAGGGATTGGCCAGCCAATGCGACACTTCATCCAAGGAAAAATACATTAAAATTAAAGGTCATTCACAGACGGCCCTTTTTTGCTGGAAAAAGAGCTTCATCAAGCGAAGAAAGAGAAGCTACATGCTATATACGCGTGTATAGATATATAATAGCCATATTCTCCCGCGTCGTACTTGAAAATACTGTTAGATTATGCAAAAGTTGGAAATTTTTATAGTATAGAACAGTTTTATGTAGCAATTATAACTTAAATATTTAATACTCTCAGTAATATGTGATTAATATAATTAATTTGTATATTTGCAGTTGTTTTGAATGTTTTTCGTAAAATAAAAAACACTAATGATAACTACACAAAAGCTCAAAAATTAATAAAATATTATATGTGGCACATAAATTATTTTATATACATTGTACAAAATATATGATTGAAGTAAAATACAAAATTGTCTAAAAATTATTAGGTGACTTAAAACAGATGAAAAAAACAGCGAAAAAAATGCGTTAAAGAAGATGGGAAAGAAATACGAGGAAAAAGTAATAAATGAAACTAGGGCCGGTAATTTTTGACATATTCAACCAAAATATTCTAAAACATAATCAAATTTCCACCGAACAACATATTCAACCAAATTTCCAACCAAACATATTATTCTAACAACATTCAATATCACAAAACTCAAAAATAATTAACAAAATAAACGCTAAAACTATAAAATCACTCACATTAAATCACCACTAAACCGGGGTGATCTTAAGGGGGGAGAGTGGTGACGCTGACAGCGGTGGTCCACGGCAGTGGTGGAGCGGCGACTGGAGCAACAGAGGGAGGGTGTGGGTTTTTGGGTTTTGGAGTTTTTTTAGAGGGAGAGAGAAGGTTGTGCTAGAGTGAGAGAGATGTGATAGAGAGAAAGAAACAAAAAGAGAGAGATTAAGAGGGAGGAGGCGGCTTGAGAGGGGCGGGGAAGGTAGAGAAAAAATGGGGAAGAGAGAGAAAGATGATTAGAGAAAATGGGAAAGGGTCGGGGGTGGATAGTTATAACAGGTTTTTTAGCGACGACAATAATCGTCGCTAAAAGAAATAAAGTCGTCCCTAAAACTATGAAATAGTAATAAAATTTATATATAACGACAACAAGCAATTTAGCAATTTAGCGACGACATCTGTTGTCGCTAAAAGTTTTGAAAATATTTCTGACCCACCAAATTTCACCGCTTTTTTTTTGGTGAAATTTTGGATTCCATTGACTACTGTCATCGCTAAAAGTTTTCTGACAACAGCTCGCGTGCAAAATGAATTTTTTAGTGCCAAATTTGTTAATTTGCCAGTCCATAATTGGTTTCCCACATTTAGCGACGACTCTTGTTGTCGCTAAATGTCTGGTTCGTCGCCAAAGAAAATGAAATAAATTTTTTCATACGTCATTCTAGTATTAGCGACGACATGTTGTCGCTAAAAGTGGGGCCCACTTTTTAGTTCTAGGGGTCTCCTTACACTCTTTATGACAACGTTTAGCGACGACATTTCTTTCAAATTAGTGACGACAAAAGCATTGCCGCTAAATATGTTGTTTCTTGTAGTGGGCATTTGCGCCAAAATCAAACCGAAGAGGCAGAGAGGATGAAAGGAGCAAGGGAAAGAATCCAGGGTTTTTGAGATAAGCAAATGAAAGGGGCGAACACAGTAGAAGCATCGAGAAAGAAGTAGATGCCAGGGCTCCATCTCGACGTGAAATGACCGAAAAGTGGTAGGCCAAAACCAAATGAAGGAATAAGCAGCTAAGGGCAAAACGATAAAATCAGAGCAAACACTACGAAAGATTATAAAGCCCCCGGCAGGAGATGAATGAGAGGGAGGGTAAAAAAGGGCAATGAGAGTGTTTCACTGTTTATTGTGCAGTGAATCCACTCCTTTAGTATATTTATAATGTATATGTATGCATGAACGAGTTTTCAATTATAGCCTATAAGAGGCCCCGTTTTGTTACTCTCTTTAGCCACATAATTCATGCATCATGTCCCAGCAATATGTACGCGCATTGGCTGTTGGCTTTTTTTTTTTTTTTTTTTTGAAGGATTTTGTTTTTCTCTGATTTTTGACCGATTGGTTGTTGGCTTTTATTTCTACAATAAATATGCTTTATATTATTAGCCTCTTCCTTTTATTTATTTGATTGTACTTTAATTAGTTTTCACTTTTATTGTTACACCGGGGAAAAAGAATAGTAAAAATTGGTTAGATGAAATCAATACCAAGTAGTTTTTGTACGAGTCATTACTTGGGGGAGGAAAAAAAAAACGTTTAGGACTAACAATTACGTAGTTGCTATGTAATATTGTTGTGATATACCAGTGACATTATAAACAAGTTATATATAACTAAAGCATTTAATATGAGTAAATCGGAATCCACATTATGTAACACAACTTCAGAAAAAAAAAAAAAAAAAACCATTCAAATCATATCCTAATACAATAAATACCATTTTATATATGGGGTGGTGGGATAAAAAAGTACGACTCAAAATTTATTGTTGTTGGTAGGAAAATTCAAAGAGAAAATGAAACATGCAAAAGCAGCAAAGCCCAAGCTGTGAATGGACGAAAAATAGAGAAGGCTCAGAACTGTCTTATTTATGATAATAGGGACACTACAAGTGTACATAGGCTTCCTTTTTAGTAACACATTATACAATATATAATGACTTCCCTAATTAAAGAGGACTGACTATCAAATATGGCATTTGATTTTGATCACCCATATAATATAACAACTATTAAGAAAAGCCTGAGTACGATGATGATTATAAAGAATGAAACCCCAGAGAGCTATTAACATACTACTCTTAACAATCCACGTAGAAACACAAATCATATATTTTATATATAGCTACTATTAAGAAGGTACTCATGATGATCAGCAATATTGTTGCTGCTTAGTGACCACCACCAAATCCGGCTCCACCGCCACCGCCGAAACCTCCACCTCCACCTCCACCGCCACCAAAACCACCGCCCCCACCGCCACCTAGTCCACCACCAACTCCGAACCCTGATCCTGCACCACCACCTACACCACCTCCGCCGCCAAAACCTCCTCCTCCACCACCGGCACCACCACCGAGACCTCCACCAGCACCACCACCAAAGCCTCCACCTGCCCCACCACCCACTCCGCCACCTAGGCCTCCACCAGATCCACCACCACCACCTAGACCGCCTCCGCCACCCGCTCCCCCGCCGGCACCAAACCCACCACCAACTCCACCACCATGGCCACCTCCAATTCCACCACCACCCCCTAGACCACCACCATGGCCACCACCAAGTCCCCCACCACCTCCTAACCCACCTCCACCACC